AAGGGGGCTCCCAAAGTCAGGTTCATCTTACTTGGCCTTTAGCATCCTGTCCTGGCAATTTTTCCTTTTATCCTATGACTCCAAGCAGACTTAAAAAAAAAAGGTCCAGCTTTTATGGGTGGCCCCAGGAGACAGGCAGGTCCTAATTCCCTAGGTTGCCATAACTAGGTGTATCCCAAGAAAAATAAATACCATGGGAAAATTTTCTTCTTTTGAAGGCAAGAAATCTAGTACTTACAGTCATTAATATCTAGTAACAGCTAAAGCTTTATAAGTATTTTCCTGCTTACCTGCTATTGCTTCAATACTTGGAATTGCAATAGTGCTGTAAGTACTGATTCTCTTACAAGACCATGTATAAAATAATGAGTCTTCCGTATTTTCCAGTCCTGAAACTGAATCAATAAAAAAAGAGCCCCATTTTTTAGATAATGTATTTAGAGGCTTTGCCTTTGGTCCCTGAAACAAGAGAACAGAACAATGAAAAAAATGATTAATTTTCAATGTCATAACTTGTTCCCCCATTAAGTAAATCAAAATAAAAAACTCTAGGAATTTCAGTTGTTTACCTTTAACTAAACTGTATACTACCTAAAAAGGGAAACCAAGCTTCGAAGTTCTTGCCTCCCCTGGTACAAGTATCTTCCCCTGGTTTTGTTTGGGAACCCTTTTTCTCATCCTTTGGGATCTGACCTGGATGCCATCCAGGACATTTTCTTGACCTCCCACCCTCAGGTTAGTTCAGGTCTTCCATTTTCCTTAGTTTATCCCTGATATATGACTTCTCATGCTACCTTTATTTATCATACTATGTACTTTTCACCTTTGACAGATAATGAAGTACCTAAGGTTAGGAACTTCCTTATGTATCAGTGTAACTTTAAGGCCTAGTGCCTGGGTCAGAGCAGGGACGTAACAATTGTAGACTAAATAAAAGATGATTAAAAAAATACTTCTCAGTGTTTTATGGATATGGATAAAATTAAAACCGTAAAAAATCCCATTGTATCCATATAATCTGGATTATAAAATCTCATCATTTTCTGATGAAAATTTCATTTTGGAACACCACAGAGCCTTAAATCATGCCTTTAGATTCATAATTCTTTGTGCTGTAACTCATTTGATGAAGATGAGAATGTTTTCAAATGATGATGTTTAGAAAGCAGTCAGCAAGAACCTATTTGGATTTCAGCAAAGATATATAAAAGCAGTATAGAGGATGAATATCCTTGATTCTGTATATAAATTTAAGGTGTATTTGAATTTCCCAATGTTTATTAAGCAATTTATAAAGTAGTAAGATTCATTATTTAGTTCACTATCTTTTCCAAAATAATGAATCTGAAAAGAGATGATTCGCATCACGTATACTGTATGTAGATAATGGTTCTGCAAACACAGAGTGGTAAAATGTAGGCTGTTACCTATTCCTATGAAAACAGGAAAACAGATTTATCTACCCTTTCTGGCTTAATGTAATATTGGTGCTGTTATGGTCTAAATGTCTGTGCCTCCCCAAAATTCAGATGTTGAAGTCTTAACCCCCAAGGTGATGGTATTAGGAGGTGAGGCCTTTGGGAGGTTGCTTAGCTCATGAGGGTGGAGCCCTCATGAATGGGATTAAAGCTCTTACAAAACAAGCTATCTTCCCTCTTCTGGCATGTGAGGGTACAGTGAAAAGATGATGGTCTATGAGGAAGTAGATCTTCACCAGATACCAAATTGGCTAGCACCATCATCTTGAGCTTAACAACCTCCAGAACTATGAGAAATAAATCTTTGTTGTGTATAAGCCAGGAAAAAAAATGTATATATATATACACACAATATATATTAATATTATATATATATATAATATACACACATATATATATACAACTAATCAAAAGAATCATTCCATTCTTGAACATATCAACAAGGAGCACTCCTATTTTTGTTTGAGCTTTATATCTTGTAGGTATCATCCTTTACTGGTAAGTGTTCTCATCAAGTTTCTAGCCTCTTCTCCTTTCTCTAGTCTCCCTTGGACATTTATCTATATCCCAATTTCCTTCACTAGTCCCGACCTATCTCCCAAGCCAGTTTGATCTCCTCCAAATACTTCAAGGAAATAAGATATAACATGAAATCAGTCGTATTTTCTCCTCACAAAACCAGCTTTTTCTCTTGACTGCCATTTGTATATGGATAAAATCCATTATTTCCAGTTGCCTGTGCTTGAAAAGTAGCTATGTTTCGAGTCCCAACGCCTTCCAGAAGCACCAGGCTTATCACCTGTCCCACCACCCAAGTCTGCCCTTACACAGCTACATGAAAGCTTCAATCCTGTTAGCCTCCACCTTCAAAACTGTTTCTCTGGCTGACACATCTACACAATTTGCTATTTTATGGTCAAGACCGTGCATTATAGCCTGTACAATTGCCATACATTCACTCATTATTTCCTGAGCCAAGAATATGTTACTATTTCCATCAATTGAAAATATACTGATGCTTTAATGTCTACCTCAAATTCTACATACTTTATGAAGTTTTCTGTAATCTTCCTCAATGAAGTATGCATCCTTCGTTGTCTGAAACTCTTTTATAACTTGTATTCCCTCCAGACAGTTATGTTTTATTTGCATACTCAAGCTTCCCTTCTCCTCTATCCTTGGACTGTAATACACTCTGTAAAAAGGAACTGTGTGTAACTCAACCACAAGTTTCCGGATATTCTTAACAAAGAGGCTTGTGTAAATTAAAAACTCAGTGTATGTATGTGCTGAACAAGAGAATGGTGTTAGACTGTTTAATAATGAGTGATCTTACTAAGATCTTAGGAAGAGCTAATCCAATAAGCTCTTATGTTTGACGCTTGTGATAAAAATTTTGAGTACTGCTCTGAAATACGTGTAGTATATGTAAACACATACACAGAACTACCAATTACAGTGAGGTGATGTAATTAAGGATGTACCTATATAGGAAAGAGTGTTATACATATGTAAACTAAGTTACATTGGATTTCTCTCTCCATACTTCCATGAATTAGAAATGATTCATTTATGGTCTCGAAAATGAAAAACAGTGTATGAATAATCATGTCAGGTCACTGATCACAATGGAAAAGTAAGAAGTTTTAAAGAAGGACAAAAAGTCTTGAATATAACCAGTTTCCTCTAACTTGTAACTTATTTTTATTGACAAGACTAACTGCAAAAGAGCCCCTTGGGGCGGGGTGGGGGGGGTGGTGGATGGGGGGCATGGGGGTGGGGTGGGGAGGGGAACCTAACCAGCTTAACATATCTCATAGAAAGGAATTTGAAAGAATGTAACTCCAAACTCATTGTATCTTTTATGAGACCAAAAAGGAAAATGTTTTCAAAGCAGTGATATTCAAATATTTACTATCACTATACATAAAACTCAAAAATACTCAAATCGCCAAGATTAAATAACATTTGCATTACATGGCAAATAGGCTTTAGGTATACCACATTTATGGAAAAGGAATGATATTTCTTTATTATGAAATATCATTCATCTTAAGTGAGAATTGGCTTAAAAACATAGTCTGTTGGTTTTAATCTAAAAACTATCCCAAACACAGCAATCTAGAAGGGTAAATTTTTTTCTCCATGATTAACTCCCTAATTTTATTATTATTTTGTCTAGTAAATAGTTAAAAAACAACTTGGTCTAATTTTCTTATTTGGTATTTATTTGGGGGGGAAGGTTTTTTTAGAAGAGAATGAGGACACAATTATTATTCATTGGTTTCAATGTATCTGGAACATAAAGCCAATAAGCTGATACAAAGTTTCAAATTATCAGTTCTTTCTAACAAATATCTTTCATTTTTTAGTTACCCGATGGGAGTACTGAGAGATAAGTAGGTCTCTTAGGTGTACTCCTAGGTCCTACCACAGATACACTCTTCATTTTGAGAATTTCTAAAGGGTAGTGGTTATATTCCAGGCATGATTCTTTTTTCTTTTTTTTTTTAATTTAAGAGAGAGAAAGCGCATGTGCACTTGTGCACACATGAGTGGGAGAGGGGCAGAGAGAGAGGGAGAGCAAATCTCAAGCAGGGCTCAATCTCACAACCCTGGGATCATGGCCTGAACCGAAATCAGGAGTGGATGCTTAACTGGCTGAGCTGCTGAGGTTCCCCCCTATCCAGGCATAATTCTTAATAAAACAGTGTTTGTGACTGAAACACCAAATAGCTGTTTACTAAAGTAAGATTAAAATTTATTTTTATTCTGGTACAGAATTGTCAAATGTAATGAAGTGAAGCTTTAGTGAACAATACTGGTCCCACTTTATGTTTTCTTAATCTAACTCATAGAAGTGTAATTCAGACTATTTTATTAGTAAATCAATTTAAAAATACAGACTCAATTTTATCAATTTGAATGTTTTCAGGTGGTATCAATCTCACCATTGTTTCAATGTGTGCTTCGTGGATTACTAGGGAGAACAGGTATCTTCTCCTATGTAAGCTTTCCCCTGCAGTCAACTGCTGGATACCAATTTCCTACTTGGCTAGATATGAATTCACTGTTGGTTTCATCAGGTTCAACCACATGAAAGTGCTGATATTCAACTATTTTTGACATACGTAAAAGGGCAATTTCATAAATTCCCACCTAAATGGATGCTGTGAGACCCTTTTCCCTATCTTTTGCTCACTGGTTAACACTATTCCAGGGGTCTTGAACAAAAGTATTTATTAATTTTTGAAAAGTTTATTTATGTATTTTGAGAGAAAGAGAGTGGGGGAGGGGCAAAGAGAGAGGGAGAGTGAGGATCCCAAGCAGCTCTGCATTGTCAGCACAGAGCCCAACATGGGGCTCAATCCCACTAACTATGAAATCATGACCTGAGCCAAAATCAAGAGTCAGATGCTCAGCCAACTAAGCCACCCAGGTGCCCAGAACAAAAATATTCAATATTGATACAAAGTTGTCATTTTTTTCTTATTGTTGCCTCTCTGGATTTTTTTTGTTTTTAAGTAATCTCTACACCCAAGATGGGACTTGAATTTACAATCCCACGATCAAGAGTTGCATGCACTACTGACTGAGCCAGCTGGACACCCTGGCTTCATCTTTGTTCATGTTTGTCCATCACCACCATCTGGATTCTAACTTGAGAAATTCTCCACTCTGAGGCCACAAAAATATTTTCATAAATTTTCTTCAATTAATTTTACAAATCTATTTCTTATTTTCAGATCTATAATCCATTCGGAATTTACATAAGGGGGGAAAAGGGACTCATTTTTCTCCATATATTGAGTCTACTTATTCAGTGCTACTTACTGAACCATCTATCTTTTCCTGCTGATTGATAACCTTCTAACATATATCACATTTACATAGTAACTTGTGATAGAGGGCCTTTGTCCGGGTTCTTCTTTCTCTGTTCACTGACCTTTTTATTTATGTATTTATT